TGTATAAAAGAAATTTCTTTGCTATTCATGCCAGTTTTGCAGCAAATACAAGACAAGAGTCTTGGTGAATATTTAGTGCGATCTAGTCATAGTGAGTTCAGTTTAATGTTTCAGTTAGTTCTTTTGTTAAAAAAAGCTACGAGATCACTTTGTTATATGATAGTAGTAAATACAATTTTCCATATAATATCATTGAGTACTTCATCAGAATTTCATAATTCAGAGAATAATGTTTTTTAACTCTCAATACCATTCTGCCTTGGGAAAAATGGTAAAAAGTGATCCGCTGCTCTAAATGATAATGAAGACCGTTTTTGACAGTACGTCTTAGTAATTATATCAAATAGTTCTTTTTCGAATATGTTGATCCCTAGAAAAAAACAATGTTAGAACTATTGCTAGAAATTAAGTTTTCGATTTCACAACCACACATTTTTAACGAGGATTTTTGTTCTGGTGTGGAAAAATCATTTTTTTCATCGCGGAATGAAAAGTTCGCTTCTCGTCTTCTGTATGTGGGACAAAATTGCATCGATCTCTCCCGGTTAAATAACACTATCGCGCATGCTCATAACTTACTTCTCCTCTCAGCAACCTAGCGACGTATGTTTTCCAAACTGTCTATGACAACTTGAAATACGTGAAGACAGTTAAATTTTTATTCTTTGATTGAAACACGCTATATCAACGAAAGGATCGAACTTTTCATCCCGCAGTGATAAAAAGTCATATACGCACCACAGGTGAAAAATACGGCATTCTCGCTCGAGAAATTTTGTTAAATCGCGTAATATACTATTTCAATAGATTCATTTCATGCCAGAAGTTTGGATTCTATATATCATGCCAGTTTGTACGTTTGTCAATTATGTATTTGTGGAATATCAATGTTTCGTTACTAATAGTGCAATTTATTGATGCAACTTTCCATTTAAAATTAAAAAAGGAAACGCGATGACAGAAGATGACTAAGTAACTTGGTAAAAAAAAGCGCATCAAAAGACAGTATTTTTAGGAAAGAGGTTTTGCCTATCTACTTCTCCATCATCATACAAAAAGATATGCGAATCTTCCAAAGAAAGATGAAGAAGTAGAAAGCCAGAACCTCTCTTTCCCAAAAATTAATTTCTACTGAAAATATACAACTTGCTGTTCTGGTGTAGAAAAAGTATTTCCAATGAATACTCAGGAGGGTTAAAAAAACAGAAATGATGACATTGGAAATGGTATAGTTCATGTAGAATGTCCATCTCTGCTAAGAATCCGATGTTGTATCCAGAGTTGGATTGCTGCAAAAACCGTTTTCCATCTCAAACTAATAATGAAGTTTAATTATGATATGTTTGATTGAACGTTGATATCAAAAACATGAAACTCATCTTCTTCCTTCAGTAAATGTTTACAAGTAAATCGAGGGTAAGCGAGCTATCTGATGCCTTCCTTATTAATGTATTCTGTTCCATGTCGTAATATGGGCTTGTGAGTCTCTCAATTAATTCAGGAGCAGCTCCATCTTGACGTGAGTAGTGTAGCCAATGATAAAAAGTACGCCACCGTCTTATTTTCTATAGTTCTTCATTTGTTGAAATCAAGTATCTGAAAACACAACTTCATGGTCTGCTACATTTTATCCATATACGTCTTCGTTTTCGATAAAAAATAACTTTATTACATATCATGTACTTACTTGTAATTTTTTAATAATATCGGAAAAACATTTCTCCAATTGGTTTCAAACTTGGTAATTACTTTTCCACTTCTTTATTTTCGAACTAGTATTTGACTCAATCAGTTCAGGGGCGTTTTGGAAGTCAACTTTGTTGAAATATATAACGCCACTGATTTCAATAGGTTTACTAATGAAAAATGAACATTCACCTAATTTTTATAACGAATTATTGCTGAATTCAATTGATGGGTCCAAACATGTTCTGCTATTCCTGATTTGCTAGTTTCTTGTGCTCGGCAATGCGAACATTCAATGGCCTCTTAGTTTCACCAATATAGGATTTTTCGCACTCACAGAGTATCCGGTAAATGAAATTCTTGGAATCGCAGTCCGCGTTTGGTGGCCTGTTTTTGTTGAGGCTGCTACGGATAGTGTTTCCGGATATAAAGCAGGTTCTAATATTGTACGTGGAACCAATTCTTCTTATCCTTTCCGATAGTCCTCTGATGTAGGTAAGTGCAAGCACTAGTTGTGACGGCTTCTCTTCCTTGCGAGGCTCCTGCTGTCTTTTAGCTGAAGTGTGTTCCACCATCGCTTTGGAGTAGCCATTCCGTTAAAGATCATTTTTCATGATGTCTAGTTCCTTTTCGAGACCTTCCTTCGTATTACAGAGCCCGAAAGCAGGGTCTAATAGAGTCTTGATGATTTCTCTTTCAGTCGATTGATGGTGGTTGGATTCGTGGTTCAGATACTGTCCCATGTGAATGGGTTTGTGGTATACAGATGTTTCCCACTTAGTGTCGGTCCTCTTCACCAATACGTCTAAGAATGGCAATTCGTTGTGGACTTCCTTCTCCATTGTGAAAGTGATGGAAGGTCTTACGCTGTTGATATTTCCATGGTTCCATATAATGAAGGTGTCGTGAACGTATCTCAAACAGACACGAGGTTTCTTGTGAGCTTCTTCAATGGCCAGAATTTCAAACAATTCCATATACATGTTGGCTATGACTGGTGAAAGTGGCGATCCCATTGGCAGTCCCTCATCTTGCGTAAATAATTCGTCCTTCAGTTGGAAATAACAGTTTCGTACATAGCATCCTAGTCATTTCATAATTACTTCTATAGGTAAATTCGTTCTATCTTTCAGGTCTTCATCTTCGGATAACTTCCTCTGTATGTAAATGCTTACCACGTCGAAACTAATTAGTTGGTCTTTCTGTGTAACTTCAATTGCCCCTAGTAGGTCGACAAAATGCCTTGAATTATTCACAAAAGACGATGTTTGCCCTTGTAATGGTTATATTATTGGGAGTGAAAATCTAGACAAATTTTGAGTAGCCGAATCTCTGGAGCTGATGATAGGTATAAGCGTAGGAATCAGTTCAGTCATCACCCGAAGATGATTATGGATACCAACAATCGTAACGTCGTGAAGTAAATTGGCTTGGAATCTCCTATTTTTAATTTTAATTATTTTTTGTTCAATTGTTCTATTTTTATTTGTATTTCATTTCACTATTATTTCATTTCAGGTATTTTTGCTTAGTATAATAATTGTTATTTTCAGCTATTCATTTTCAATTCTTCATCTTTAGTTCCTTCATGGAATTCAAATAATTTTATATAAAATCAGACAATGGAAGTCCGAATTAATGAAATTCATCATGGAACATTGTCAATCACCTTCAAACAAACGTTGAATTGTGATTCCATCATGAATAATTTCACTAACGCTGAAATGGGTGACATGTCCTTTGTTTATGGAAGAAGAACGAATAATTTAACAGAAAATATATCTCAAGGAAATGATTCCATGAGCTGAAATAATTAGAACGCTACAATTGAGATTACGTGAAACTAGGAGTTCTAATGAAAAAGCAAGTGGTGGAAGACCAGAAACTTAACAACGTCTGAACTGGAAGCTGTACTCAATGCGGTAAAAGAAGATCCCTCAAATAATACCAGGAAGATCGAACTGCAGCTTCTAGTCAACACAAAATCCTTTTTGAAATTTCTGTAAAAAAACTTCTTAACTCATGTTAACGTACAGCGGGTCCCAGGTCTACTTTCACGGGATTCTTAAACTAGATTAATCTTTTGCAGCTAGTTGAATCACTCGATCTCACACAATGATAATTTTCATCGAATATTCCATTCACGAACGAGGCAAATTTTCACACTGACCATTTTCTGACCGGAGAAAAGCAGAACTTAATAAAAAATGTTCTCTAAATGTTTTGGAAATTATAGGTGACTAACTGAATGGTGTATTCTTTCATCAGCAAGAATAACAAGTGAATCAATCATACAACAACTATTCGTGAGATAATTTTCTATATTGTTAGAAGAAGTACTTGGACTTCAGTATGTGGTTTATGCACGAGATCCAGCTCATTTCAGTGTTCTTGCTCGTCAGCATCCCGACATCACCTATCCTAATCACTGGACCTGAGAACCTCAGGATCTGATTGCAGGACCTCAAAATTGGATTTCAATTAATATGATCATATGAAGGATCTTGTTCAAACAACTCCTGTTTTATATGTGAATGACTTGGGGAATTGAATAATTGACAATTGCAACGTCACAAACAATACTCCAGGTGACTTTGAACGTGTCACACAATCAATGACAATTGGATTACAGACATGTATTTTCTCGGAAGGTAGAACTTTCACTTATACACTTCACGATCCAAATTGTTTTTTTTAATTTTTGGTATTAATTTTATTCATTTCCTCGAAAATGAAGGTAGATGTGAATGAAATACAAAAGTCAAAAAAAGTGATGTATCATTTTTACCTAATATATTGCTTGAAGTACTCACTAGGACGTCACTGAACCCAATGATTTCAATCTAGTTAGGATCCTCAATTACAATAAGTACCAAATTCCAACCAAATCGATTTGATAATATTTATATTTTATGGATACAGAAACAATGAAATAACTCCGGACAGTTTTAAAACGACCTCAGAAATAAAGAAGTTACGTGTCGTACTTAGGAAACACCCCATATATCAAATTATGTAGCGTTCTTGTGAATGATATCTGTTTCTATTCCATAAGGATTTTTTTTTAGGAAAAAAACTAAATAAAAAAAGAGAGGCCGATTAACTCAATGTTCATATATTTGAAGGTAGTTATTTCGTATGGATTTTTTTCTCCAGTTTGCATGTGGAGATGAGAGTTCATGATAATTTTTATTGATAATAGTTTCTCTCTTTCTTTCTTCGAAATTTCTTGTTTTTTTTCAATTGATGGAGAAGAAGAGAGCCAAAATATTTTTCATTCATTCTCCATTGAATTATGTTTATTTATTTTCCAGGATATGTTTCTTTCACTGATAGCTACATTTTGTTTGATAACGGCAATCTCATCAGCAATTCCTGAAAAGACTAGGTACACCACAAAATATGACAATGTCAACTTGGAAGAGATCATCAAAAATGATAGACTCCTTAAAAACTATGTGGATTGTCTCTTAGATAAAGGAAAGTGTACTCCTGATGGTTTGGAACTCAAAAGTAAGTGAACGTTACTCAGTTAAGTTAGGAATGTCCAACATGTTATCCAACTGGGCTGTCACATTTGTAGGAGCGTCAAGGAAGGCTTGGTTTGAATGAAAAATAACTAATAATGAGTAATAATTCAATTGTCGTTAAAAAATATGTTTTTTCCGTTAACCAGCTTACCCCTACGAACGACAACTCTCAGAAGTCGAAACTTGTGCGAGCTAAGGACTCACGAGGTCTTACCTTCTGACTTGTGATTCCTAACACAACCAATTTGATAAGAAGTATTGTGCACTAGTAAAATGTTCGTAGATAAAAAATTTAGTTTCATGCCAACGTTTCGGACTTTATTGAATCTATCATCAGGACTCAAACATTAGTTATCCATGCCAAAAAAAACGTTTAAAATATATGTGTCAGACAACATAGGTACAAATGAAAATGAGGACTAACCAAATGAAAACACATACACCAGAGACACATTTTTTGTTATAATGTGATGATGGATTTAATACTAACTAAATTGTTTATCTACGAACATTTTTGATCACTTTCCCAACCAATAGAAAAAACCGCATTTGAAAATATTTTGAATTACCAAACCAGGCAAAGATAATTTTCTCTAGTTCAGTTCATCTATATGAACTAGGTCTTGGAAAATACAATGAAGCATATATGAAAAATATTGATTTTGGGCGTCACCAAACATGTATTTTCCTTGCAAATAGATATGAGAAAAAATGTCATTCAGATGAATGGATACATAACTTTGAACATCTTCGCTAGCAACAAGATATTTTTATTCAAAACTGAAGATTGTAAATGAGATGATATGTTGTTGGAGAAACAAAAAAGATATTTTTCTCTTAGAAGGTACATTTGGCTGAACCAGAAGTAATAAAGACAGGAGATACTGTTCCGCTGCCTGGTTTTGAAATCAATTCATTGGTTGATATAGTATTGATTTTACATGTATCTTGTTTTTTGAGAAGACGAAGGCTGGTTTGAGTCTAGTAGTAGAAGTAGAGAACTATTACTATCCATTGTCAATGTCTTTCTTCAGCGTTATCAATAGTATATAATATTTTATGAAACAAAATTGCTATCTGTCGAAACGCACGTCAAAAAACAGTAATTTTGTTCTGGAGAGGGAAGAGTATTTTTGGAATGAATTGGTTTTTTTTTTACTTCAAAAGTTTTTCCACAATTTCGTCAAGAAATATTTCCATCTGATCTGAAATTTGCAAAAATTATTCCATTTGGAAAATGGGATCATGCCTGTTGAACAAAATAATATTTAGGGATTATCATTGATGAAGGCTTCAAATGCGAACTTCACTTGAATTTCGTGATGAAAATCACAGATTTTGATAAATACATATAAAGCACTTCAAAATATCGTTGATATTTTATATCTCATTACGCTGTATGGTGCCCTTATTCAAATACATATTTTGTACGGAATATTGGCATGATGATTGATTGGTGAAACGATGATGAATAAACTAATAATGGCATGAAAAGACAACTGAAAATTATCTACAGAAAACACGGAAATTTTTGTAAGATGTTCTTGAGTCATCTTTTTGAAGCTACATCCGTCAAATAAGTTCTCATTTATTCAGCCTGTTTTGCCAAATCACCATGGATGGATATATCATTCAACAATACGTGCAAATGATAAAATTATTTCATCAAAATGGGTGTCCAACGGGCAACGTACCGCGCGCTTCGCCCATTTTACGGTCGCTATAATCGTCCTACTAAGAGAATTATTCGCAATGTGGTTCGCACTAGTTCAGTAAACGATCCACCTGTACGTCGACGAACCGTAAGATCTGTCGAAAGCATCGCCGCTGTCTGTTAAGGTGCGTATTCAACAAAAAATGAAGCACGAGCGAGCATTCTTGTATGTTTGCTCGTGTTTGCTCGACAGTCTAGTTGAAAAAACCAGACATCACCAGAAGATGGCAAATGAGACTTTGCCGAAACGTTGTGAAAATAATCCTTATGGGGAGAAAATANTACAGGGTCCTCCACGACGAGCGTTCGTTAGGAATATATAGCGAAGGGTAGTCTTGACTGACTAGTCAATGTATAAATAAAATAAGTTTTTGTACTTTTTCTCTGTAATGTTGAATTGAATGTGTGGCACTTTGCTACATGATGAAAAGTATTAACTTTGTTTTTCTCATTGCCAAGTCTAACTTTTTTACAATAATTTCAAGTTAATGTCTTGATAAAGGGAATACACATTCACACCTTACCCCTTGCCTCTCATGTAGACCTACGACTTTGTAGGTTTTTTTTGGTCCCTTGGGAGCTGTTTGACTTGTTCATTTGGTTCAAGTCTCCAGAAAACACTGCAGCCTCTTGGGCTCATTTATTCTCCCATCTTCTCATGACACCCATTTCATCAGTCTCGTTCCCTGTACTAGTTTGTACAGGTTCCGTGTTGGATGTTCGTCATATTCTTCTGGGTGTAATTTTGTACGTCCCTATATTGCCTGCCTCCTGTGATTCAGTGCCTCACATTCGCAAAAGATGTGTAGAGTTGTTTCTATCCCTTCGGTGCATAATCTGCAGCTGAGGTCTCCGTTGTACAGCCCCATTTTATTCAGATGTCCTCTAAGGTACGTATGGGAAATACTCAATGGAAAAACAACAACTAACCCAGCTAATGCCACTCAGATATTTGAAGTGAAACCATCTGGCACCCGTGCAACATCTTCGATTTGGAAGATTTGTTGCAAGTTATTTCCTTCTATGAAAAGCAGAAATTAATTCCGTTTGGTCGATACGACCAACCGATAGACTGGTTTCGGGGTACTTGCCCCATCATTAGTACCTGGCATGGTCTCTTCAGAACGGTGTGAACGGTCTGAATATCACGATGAAACAAATATAATTCCAGCTAGTCATTAACTCTTTCTGCAGTTGATTCAGTGGGATGTCTACTGTGCCACCTGCAGACAGAGCCAGGAAACAACTCCACAAACATACTCTGTGCTGGGAGTCGGTATAATGATAAATATTCTGAAAAAGTGCATATGACATACTCCAGGTTCAGGTGAAAACACCTCACCCCTTGCCTCTCATGTAGACCTACGCATTTGTAGGTATGTGTGGCATATACCCAACGGGAAAACAACAACTTACCCAGCTAATGCCGCGCAGAGGAAATCGGCCAATCCAATAAAAAGCTGATCCAAAGGTACGACGAGCACAAAAAGGCATACACAAACCCAATAATATATAAATCAAACCTCGCCAGACACGCCATTCAAACATAATTTTCCCCCACCAGAGAACACATAATTCATATAATTCACTTATCGAGGAACAAATACAAATCAAAACACAACAAGACCTAACATTTAATATATTACAAAAAACAATACACACTCCAAAAACAGTAAACCTNAACTGATTGTGTTGTGGAAATCAGTCGACGAAAAACCAATCATTGAGTATCCATTGAATTCCTTGGTGAAAATTAGTGGTACCTGAAAAAACTTCATCGATTATCATAAATTTTTATCCACAAGTATATGTGAAACCATGGAAATAATAATGGAATATCGAAATTTTATGCGTGTTTTGAAAACATTGAGAGAAAAATAGAAATATTTCATAAAAAATTTGGAGTTTCAGAAAAAATAGAAAGATTTTCCTATTATGGCAACCGCTACTTGTTGAGAATTATGATTACTGCTTTTTACAGACCACATACCATTTTTATTCTATCTAGAAATTTTCCTACAGATCTTTAATTTTATCTCAACATAGAATCAAATATTTTCACAGAACTCTGGAATTATTAGTGATTGGGAGAAGTGCTTGTTTCGGTTCTTTAAACATGTTTTATATTTCAGAAAATATGCCAGATGCTATAGAGACGGACTGCAGCAAATGTAGCGAGAAGCAGAAAGAGGGGTCTGAAATTATCATGAGATATCTGATTGACAATAAACCTGATTATTGGAATCCTTTACAGGATAAATACGATCCTGCAGGAAACTATAAGAAGAGATATTTGGAGACCAAGAAGACAGAAGTCAGTGTTGAACCTATTGTCAATTCCTAGACAAGGACAACAATCTTAGAATATCAGTTTGTATTAGATGAAGATGTGTATGTATTATAGTTTACAAATAGATGATACTGAGAAGTTTCATTGATTTTCTGAACTAACTTTGATTCAGTTTCAATGGAAACATTTTGTCTACATCTCTAAAATAAATCACCACTCAAAGTTCCAGAAGGAATTGAGGTATACATTGCTAGTGATTATGCATGTTGTAATCCATATATTATACTTTATACAATGAACTTTTTTGTCTGCCGTGAGATATTCTAGCAGAATGAAATGAAATGAAATATAGTAAGGGTTTTATTAAACTATTCCCATCAGGTATTGGTCTACTACTATCCAGGTTGGGTAGAGAATATGAAAAGGAAGACAGTTGAATTTTATATTTTTCAGACCAAAAAAAAATACAGAACATTTTTTATTTTTATTTATTATTCAAGCTCTATAAACTTGGGTTGACTTTTTTGTTGAATTTGAATTCCTATATCTCAATGTATAGGAATTTTTCTCAACAAATATTGTATATGCATATATGTTTTATTCGGTGACAAGTTCGAACTTTGGATATTGTTGGTATAAATACCTGGTTTCTCTCCTTCTCCTGTGAAGTGATGTAGTAATTTGCCTAAAATCACCGGAACTGGCCTTTGGAAGTCGGAGCTCTGCCTCAGTATACTTTGTCTTTTTTCTTACTTATGGATTGGCTTTTACAGGTAGATAGTATTATATTTCATTCAATTTTAATTTATTAT